TCTTGTCCACTGATGTATCCTTAGCACCTGTGACACTACCGTGTGCTCAGTAAATACTGGTTGACTGAAAGAATAAGATTTGGAGCTCAGAAACAGCAAGTGTCTGTACTGGCCAAGGTGGTCCAAAGGGCTGCACAGAAGTGGGCACTCTTGGCCGCATCCTGGGAGTGGGAAGGAGTATGTGTGGGTGAGCTCAGGCTCTTCTCCCACCCCTCATTTTTTGTTCCTTACTTGGCCTGGCATGCCAGTTTCAATGAGACGTTCCAGTTTCTGTTCTGGACCATGTTCAGCATGGAAGAGCACAGCATGGTGGACAGTTTCTGGTGCCTGAGTTTGTGGACCGGGCCCTCTATGGCATCTTTACCATCGTCGTGGTCATTGTGCTGCTCAATATGCTCATTGCTATGATCACCAACTCCTTCCAGAAGATTGAGGTGTGTAAACAGAGGCCAGTTTAGGCCAGGGAGCAGAAGGGAAAAAGGAATGGAGAGGAATAGGGTGCAAAGGGGCAAGACATGTGGCGTTGTGCTCTGCCTCCACTGTTGTCTTGCTTGTGGCTTTGGACAAGTTTTCCTCTGTAAAATGAGGGTCTTAGTGATGCTATTAGTATCTCCAGACACCAAAGTCTAGTGCTGATTCCCCTTTAGGGTTGGGCAGAGGAGTGTGTTGTAGAGAAGAAAACGGGAACATGAGAGGGAGAGGGAAGGAAACGGATGGGTTAGGGTCTGCAGGCTGGAGAATAGGCTGGGCAGGAACTGGATGTCAGAAAGATGAAAGACAATAGTGGGGAGAGAGGAAATGGGGGACAGTGGAGGTCGGAGATAAGTATGGGGAGAAGAAAGAGGCTGGCTAGGATTATAGACACACTGGAGAATCAAAGATGTGAGGAGTGGGGAAAAGAAAGTCTGAGTGGGCAGGGGGGCCATGTGCTAACGAGGTCCTTGTACCACCCCCTGCTGCCTGGCTCCCGGGATGATGCTGACGTGGAGTGGAAGTTTGCTCGCTCCAAGATCTGTCTGTCCTACTTCCGAGAGGGCCTGACACTGCCTGTGCCCTTCAACATCCTGCCCTCCCCAAAGGCTGTCTTCTACCTTCTCAGGTGATGACCTCAGAGCTCCCACTCCCCAAATCCCCAGCCCCTGCCCCCATTTCCCTGTCCTCTAACCAACTTCTTCCCACCATTGAAATCTCTCAGGAGAATTTGCCAGTTCATTTGCTGTTGCTGTTCCTGCTGCAAAACCAAGAAGCCAGACTATCCCCTCATCCCTACTTTTGTGAGTACCTCCTCAGCTTGTTGCTGGTCACCCTGGTGTCAGGCCTTCACCTGTATTGTCTATACCATCCACTTGTCTGCATACCCCGGGCTTATCTATCTTTCCAGGTATGTTCCCCAGAAAGCCTGTCTCAATTTCTACTCTCTCACATGGCTTCCCTTTCCCTCTTCCTGGCTCTGGCCATTTCCTGAATTTCCAACCCTGTGTCATGCAGCCTAAACAGAAGTCCTTGCCACCCTCCTCCCAAGCTAGAAATACTCACTAAGCTCCAGACAGAACTTTTTCTCTTAAACTGGTCCGAGACATACTTGAACATTTTTTAAAAAAACATGTTAAGAAGTCAAAGAAATGTCCCACAAACAGGGCAGTTAGATGGCTGACAGTGGCCTGAGAGAGGAGGCCAAGAGGCCAGACATCCAAGGAGCTCCCCAGCCCAGTCTGGCCTGGCATGAAGGTACCTTCCTAATTCAAGTACTGCCAGGTCTGTAGGGGGCTCTCCCCTCCTCACCATCAGCCTCCCAGCCCTCACCCACCCCTTCCTGGTCCTCTCACCATCAGCCCTTGCCCAGCTTCTGGACCCTGTCCTTCTACCTTCCAGGTCCACACTGTGGGGTGGAGGCCAGGGGCTAGGTGGGTCAGGGACAGAAAAGTCTACACAGACTTTGCTTGGGCCTTTTTTGCCTGGGGGTGGGGGGGCATGGGCAGTGATCAGAGGAAGGTTGGAGGTAGAGAATCTCCCCCACCCTCTTGTCTTCCCATTCCAGGCCAATCTTGGGGCAGGGGCTGTGCCTGGGAAGGAACAGCATGGATCCTACTGCCTTCACATCATCAACGCCCTGGTGCAGCGCTACATAGAGACCGCCCGGCATAAATTCGAGGAGACCCAGCAGAAAGGTTCGTCGCCCACCTCCAAGCCCTCCCCATTCCTGTTCCTTGCTCAGCTGGGATAAAGGCCCCATTCCCAGAGTCACATCCTCATTCAGCCTGCATAATATGTGGCCCCATCCTGCCCTGCCCTTGGAAGGGCAACCTGCACAGCATGGCCCCTTGCACTCCATCACCCTCTGACCCATCCAGGCATTTATCCCACTCATTTCATGTAACTGCTCATTCCTGCCTTTAGGTGTGTTCAGTTATTCTCCCATTTACTCCCTTACCCAGTCACTCATTCACCTCTTTCATTCACTCACTTACTGACTCATTCCACCAACATTCATCACTATGGCCTCTTTCGTTCCAGGCCCTGTCTTGGAGGGAGGGACGGGGCAGGGACACATGGGAAGCTTTCAGTCTGGTGAGGAAGAGAAACCATCACACTGGGCGTTAAGTGCAGCTAAGACAGACGCAAATTGCTATCAGTGCCTGAAGGGAGAAGAAGCCCGTCATTTTCAGAGGCTCATAAGAAGGCAGAAGAATAGAGTAGCAGAATGGACAAAGCGGGGAGGGATGTGAACTGGGCCCTGAAGGATGCGGTGAGCTGGCTGGCCATAGACTGGGGAGAGGGCGGTGGGGGGGGAACGCATGAACGTCTACCCAGTAACAGCTTTCCCCATGGCTTGTCATCCTTCTCTGGCCCCCAGACTTCCCTTCTTTCCAGCTCCTCAGCTCCTCCCTCCCCACCCGATCGGATTCACCTGTCCCAGTTTCACCCACCCACCTGACCCCTAGCCCACACACCCGTTCCTCACTTCTTCCAGTTCTCCCTCAGGAACTCTGGATATGGCAACCCCTGGGATTCTGTAAAGGGTAAAAGGGGTACACGGCAGGCTCATCCTCTGAAAGGCCCCTCAGTACTCCACCTCCTCCAGACCTGGGCAACAGACTCACAGAGCTGACCAAGACCGTATCTCGACTGCAAAGCGAGGTAGCCTGTGTGCAGTGAACTCTGGCAGAGGGAGGTACACCCCGGCCTCCTGACAGTGCCAGCATCCTCAGTCACTGCATCACCTGAGTGCACAACAGCTTCCAGAACCTGGGGCCTCCCATCCCTGAGACCGCAGAGCTGACAGGGCCTGGGATTGTGGGGACCCAGGAATCATCAGGAACCGGGCTTCCGGACAGTGGAGGGGCGAGGACTCTGGCTTCTGGAGATTCCGGCCCGCGCTCCCCAGCTCATGTGCTAGTACATAGGCAGCAGGAAGCAAAGGGGGCTGCGGACCTGCCCCAGGGGGAGGATTCGGGGACTGAGGGGAGGTCCTGATACAGTGGAAGGCTCCCTTCTTCTGCTGCTGAGGGTGGTAGCCTAGGAGGGTAAGGGTGGGGGACCCCTTGGGAGGAGCCTGCGCTGCTTTTCTTGCTTCAATGAAGTTTCTGTTCTGGATGTGAGAGGCCTCCGGGCTGTGTGAGAATCTCTGTCTCCTGATGTTTTGAGGTCCTCGCCCTTCTTTCCCCTGAAATGGACCCTTGTGGGAGTAGGACAGAGAGAAATGACTTGCTCTGTGGTCCCAAGTGTCTTGGGCTTAGGATCCTACTTTGAGTTTCCTCAGATCTTTCATGGAGAGTTCCGGACCAGGAGGCAGGAGTCCGGGGAGATGGGAGGTCGGGGTTCAATGGGAACCCTCTGACCAGTTGCTTCCTTCCTTGTCTTTGCACTCCTCACCTCACAAGTGGGGCTGAGGAATCACCTGCCTGCTTTCCTGCCTTCATGGTTGTCGTGAGGACCCCCTAGCTGTTCTAGCTTCTGGATTTGCAAGTTAGAGTGTGACACGGGTCTGCACAGGAGATTGTGTCTAGGAGTGACCAAGAAGTTACTATTATTATTATTTTTGAGACGGAGTCTTGCTCTGTCACCCAGGCTGGAGTGCAGTGGCGAGATTTCCGCTCACTGCAAGCTCCGTCTCATGGGTTCACTCCATTCTCCTGCCACAGCCTCCGGAGTAGCTGGGACTACAGGTGCCTGCCACCACGCCCAGCTAATTTTTTTGTATTTTTAGTAGAGACAGGGTTTCACCGTGTTAGCCAGACTGGTCTCAATCTCCTGACCTCGTGATCCGCCTGCCTCAGCCTCCCAAAGTGCTGGGATTACAAGTGTGAGCCACCACACCCGGCCCCAGGAAGTTATTTTTTTAGTCCCTCAGTCAGTCCCTCAGCCTAGCAAGGCCAGAGTGGGGCAGATGGTCTAGTCTCATGGAATAAACCAATCATAAAATTCCATGTCTCCACACTGCAATACCTTTTAATCAAGTGGCTGCCTCAATAAAATTCCATGTCTCCACACTGCAACACCGTTCAATCAAGTGGCTGCCTCAGTACTTCCCTTGCTTGTCCCGGGAAGTCCCCACCACATAGCAGAGTTCCCTTAGCCCTGCTGTGGCCTCCCCAGCCCCACATCCTGGTTGGGGAGAAGGCTGCTAGGGCTGGGTCTGGAACCACGTTCTTGCTTCTCAAGGCTGTTGGAGGCGCCTCTTCTTCATATGAAGGTCACCCGTTCCCAGGGCTCCTAAGTGGCAGATGTTGGAGTTTCAGGGCCCAATCCCTGAGAGCTGGAACTCCCCAGGGGCCAAGAGCAGGGTCTTCCAAGGGGGCAGAGAGGAGGCCCCCTCAGATTGTGACTGGCTGCACCCCTGCTGGAGGGAGAAGAAAAGGAAGGGGTCAGCAGGGTGAGGGGGAGTCAAAGCAGCTGAGGGAGGATGGAAGAGCGACTCACCTGGTACAGACACACAGCCCCGCCTCTTCTCCCCTGCAACAGACAGCAGAGTGAGGCCTCCATGTGGACAGACTCACACCCAAACTGCCCGGCCCATCAGGCCTTGGCAGGGCCATTTCCCCTCTCAATCTATTTTCCCTTCACCTAAAGGGAAACTTCTGACTTTCTTTCCTCCTCGGTCCTCCAGGAAGTTTTTCCAGATTGCGTTTCCATCCCTCTTCCCACCCAAGACCCAGTCACTCTTCCATCTGTCCCTGCCTTAGCACTTGGGAGTGGCACATACATGCCCTATCAGCCTCATCAAGCCCAGGGCCCCCTGAGACCTGAAGCAGTCCCCCTGGCTCTTTCTGCTGCTTGCTAATCTCCTTAACCAGGTTCTTTTGGTCTATTAGACTGTGTAGCAGATGGACCTTTTGAGGACATATAGAATCATCTGAGAATGTTCACAAATCTGGAAAACACTTATAGGACCCAAAAAAACCCAAGTCACAGATGACATTAACTCCAGCTGACTTCCAGCCCTCAATTCCCCTTTAACCAAGTGGGTCTCCCGAAGGCCCTGGGGATTATTGTGTAGGAACATTCTGGCTTATTTCACCCACACTGCCAGTCCTGCTTCCTCCATGCACAGCTCACCACCCAGATAGGCGCAGTTAAAGTGGCTGCAGGTCTGATTATAGCTCCAGAGAGTCACCAGGCTCTGGGCTCCATCCTGAGAGAATCTGGTGACCAAGAAGACTTCATGGGGGGGAATCAGCACCTCGCGCTCCTTGGGAAAGACAGAGAAGGCCTGGATAGGGGCCCCAAAGCAAGTCGTTAGAGAAAACAGGGTGGCATTACCAAATCTGCAGGCCACTGCCTTATCCAGGGAGCTGGAGGCAAACTGGCCTAAGCGGACAGAGTCCCCCAGCCTTTTGGGTTCAAAGCGAAGGCTGCCCACACCTCGGAACACCACCTCCCCAGGCCCTGTGCTGCAGCCCCCACCGCCTCGCAGCAGCTGCAGGGCCCGGATCAGGTAGAAATGCAGGGCCTTGAAGGGAAAGTGCCTCATGTAGAGCTCCCGGGAGCCTCCGCCTGTCCGCACGGCCTGATTCAACTTCCAGTACAAGGTGTTAGATGAGTTGGTGTAGACCATAATGGCTATTCCGTTCTGGGCTTTGAAGCCGGGGGGTAAGATGAGCCCTCGATGCCTGTCCTCCCAGGCCTCCTGGGCTGCCTCCCAGGATTCCCGCAGCAGGGCATGGTGGGCCATTTCCGCCTTTAGCAGGGGGGCTGCCTTCTCCTCCATCTCCTCTGCACAACCCACATAGGCATCGTCAAATGTGTCTGGAGCCAGTCCCAGGGGCAGGATGGGAACAGCCTGGGCCTGTGGAGGAAGGAAGAGAGGTGCCACACCGAAAAGAGCGTAAGTTCAGAGCACTGGACACGGGTCCTGGGGGCAAACCCATCCAGAAACACAGAATCTCATTTCTATCCCCAAATATCAGGTATATGCAATTTGGCAAGGACCCAATAAGAGGCTTAAATAGCACAGGCACTGGAGTCAGACAGACATGGGCTGAAATCTTTTTTTTTTTTTTTTTGAGACAGAGTCTTGCTCTGTTGCCCAGGCTGGAGTTCAGTGGTGAGATCTCTGCTCACTGCAAGCTCCACCTCCCAGGTTGGAGTGATTCTCCCACCTCAGCCTCCCAAGTAACTGGGATTACCTGTGCATGCCACCATGGTTGGCTAATTTGTTCTTTTCTTTTTGTTTTTTTGAGACGAGGTCTCACTCTGTTGCCTAGGCTGGAGTACAATGGCACGATCTTGGCTCACTGCAACCCTGCCTCCTGGGTTCAAGCAATTCTCCTGTCTCAGCCTCCTGAGTAGCTGGGATTACAGGTGTGCAATACCACACCCAGCTAATTTTTCGTATTTTTAGTAGAGACAAGGTTTCACCATGTAGGTCAGGCTGGTCTCGAACTCCTGACCTCAAGTGATCCACCAGCCTCAGCCTCCCAAAGTGCTGGGATTACAGGCATAAACCACCGCGCCCAGCCTGAAATCTCGACTTTACCACCTATTAGTTGTGAGATCTTGGGCAAGTGTCATAACTTTTCTGGACTTGAGGATACTTCCAACCTCACAGTTATTATGAAGACAGCATAAAGAGCATTACCTCTGTACAACCTAAAAGGGATCATCCTGTCATTAGAAAAGTTCCTGCGGTCGGTGGGAGGTGGGACTAGATGACTACCAAGCACTTTTCTGGCTGTAAGATCTAGCAGGCAGGTGATATGCAAATACTACACACAGCAAGTGTCCAGCTACCTGACCCCCAGCCCCAGTCTCCTCAGGCTCTCTTTCCCTCTCATCCAGCAGGAAGCCCTTGCAGGTAGGTGCTCAGCCACCACACCAAATCACTGTCAGCTCTGAGACGCCTGCGTCCTCCCCTGCTCTGTACCCACATTTGGGGTAGGGGTGGTGGGGAGTTGGACAAGCCTTGGCTGGGAGAGGCTGCCAGGACTGCAGCACACAGGTAACTCAAGGAGGCTTTGCGGGACTGTGCCTGCGCTGGGAGATGAGAGGTGGGGAGGAGAATGTTGGAGGCATCCAGAGAGGAATGGAGGTGGGGGTTCTAGGAGACAGAATGGGAACCTGGGGCTCCCTGCAGAGATGGAGGTTCCTGAGAGGAAGAGAGTTAAGAGTGGAATCCTAGGGAAGAGTCCCTGGGAGAGGGCTGTGAGGAGTCAGCCCCCAGTCCACTTCCTCAGGGTCTGCCCCTCAATGTCCCCCTTGGGGACTGGAGATGGTTCCTGGAGTTACCTTCCAGGTGTGGAGGCCAAGGCAGCCGAGGGCCATCATCAGTGACGCCAGTGCCATCCCTGGAGGAGACGTGAGGGCCAGGAGTCCGGGTGAGGGCGGGACCAGTGGCGCTGGAGTCCTGGTTTCGAGGGGCTCGAGGGAGATCCGGACCCTGTCTCCAGGCGCGCGGGATCCGGGGTCCAGGATTAGGGCCCTGGAGGGGCGTGGGCGGGGCCGGGGGCGTGGGCAGGGCCTGGAGTTTATTGTCCGCCCCCCCGCTCCAAGTCTCCGCTCCAGGCTCCCGACGCCCCTTCCTCAGAGTCTCCAGTCCGGGGACTTTTCTGAGACGGTAAAGGCGGGGCCGCAGTTTGGCTCCGCCAGAGAGGAGAGGGCCGGGGGCAGAGGACCCACCTGAAGGTTGCGGAGGCCGCGAGCGGGAGGTAGCGCCGAGGGCTCGGGCGGGCGCTGCGCTGTCCCCGGAGTCCGGCTGAAAGCAAGGTTCCCGAGGCTAACTAGAGCCCCCGCGCTGGTAACCCGACACCCCTTTCCCAGTGCCGCACGCGGGGCCGGGAGCGGCCGCGGCGGGGCAGGGGCTGAGGGGCAACTCCCCTTCTCCAGGACTGCGGGGTCTTTCTGCGGGACCCTCTTTGGCTGTGAGGGGGAAGGAACTTGTGAGACTTGGTCTCTCCCTCAGGCGGTCCCTGACCCGGTCGGCCCCTGGCCCCCAGACGACCAGGCCAGGGGGCCCTGCGGAGGTCCCGCCAGCCAAAAGGTCGCCCCTGGAGCACTCTGAATTGTAGAGTTTGCATTTGGCCCACACCTTGGGCCACGTGCTCCAGCATCTGAGCAGCGCCCACTCCCTCCCTTCTCTGGGCCCTCTCCCCATACCCCTTCAGTGGGGTTGGGCCAGAGACAGAGCCCTTGGTCGCAAATCCACAGGATCCAGGCTCGCCCCTCCCCCAGACCGCTTTCGGTACCGCTCAGACTCAGGTGACCCATGTTTGTAAACACTGGCCTTTCCCCCACCTCCTCTGGGCTTATCTATAAATAACCTGGCTCTGAGTTTTGGATGCCGCGTCAGAGGCCATGGGGGAAGGGGCCAGCGGAGGAATTCGTAGCTCAGGGAAGAGCTTCCCAGCAGCCTGAGCCAGGAGGAGGGGGGATGTCACCCTTCCTTCCCCCAGCGGCCGGAGGGTCGCTGAAAGCTAGGATTTCTGAGGGTTCCGAAAGCTAGGATTTGGAAATGCTGCCTGCTGGAGCTGAGGTAGGCACGAAAGATTAGAGCTACCCAAAGGACTCCAGCCTGGTCTGGCTCATTAATTTCCCCCATCCCTGTCCCCTCATCCCCTCAGACTGTCAAATAAAAAGTTGCCTCCACCTAGAATCCTGCTGTCTCCCAGAATCCTTTCTGTAGACCAAACGGGAAGACATACTGTGGGTCCAGTCTTGGAGGAGGGTGGGGAGGGAGGTGCTTCTGAGTGCTTGTTAGAAAAACAGCTCCAGGGCAGGGCGCGGTTGCTCAGTCCTGTAATCCTAGCACTTTGGGAGGCTGAGGCGGGCAGATCCCGAGGTCAAGAGATTGATACCATCCTGGCCAACATGGTGAAACCCCATCTCTATTAAAAATACAAAAATTAGCCTGGCATGGTGGCGGGCACCTGTAGTCCCAGAGAATCCTGCTGTCTCCCAGAATCCTTTCTGTAGACCAAACGGGAAGACATACTGTGGGTCCAGTCTTGGAGGAGGGTGGGGAGGGAGGTGCTTCTGAGTGCTTGTTAGAAAAACAGCTCCAGGGCAGGGCGCGGTTGCTCAGTCCTGTAATCCTAGCACTTTGGGAGGCTGAGGCGGGCAGATCCCGAGGTCAAGAGATTGAGACCATCCTGGCCAACATGGTGAAACCCCATCTCTATTAAAAATACAAAAATTAGCCTGGCATGGTGGCGGGCGCTTGTAGTGCCAGCTACTCGGGAGGCTGAGGCAGGAGAATCACTTGAACCCGGAAGGCAGAGGTTGCAGTGAGCCGAGATTGCACCACTGCCCTCCAGCCTGGCGACAGAGCAAGACTCCATCTCAAAAAATAAAAAACAAAAAACAAAACAACAACAACAACAAAAATCTAGTCATTGGCAGGGATCCTAAGTGTAGCAGAAAGAAGTCCTCCAAGATCACCTGGCGAGTCAGAGCTGGAACTGGGACCCAGAATCCAGCCTCCTTAGTTTGAATCTCTCCTGGCACCTTGCTAAGTCTCAGTGTTCACGTGAAAGGTACAAAATCTAAGGAGATGCTCTCTGAAGCTGAGGTGCTGAAGCTTCCTCCTCTCTTCCTCCTCCTTGACTGACCAGAGTACAGGACCATAGCCAGTGAGGAGGCAGTTGTCCCAACCTGGATCCCTAGTGCTTCAGTCCACCTCCTATCTGGCTTCAGGGATTCTCTTTTTTGTAGGACGAACACTGGGCAGGTCAGACTGAGCAGAGGCTGGTGTTCCTGAACCCTGAGGAGACATCCAGAAATAGATGGGGGAGTGTCGTGTTTCTGAGCAGCTGTGTGGGGCAGGTGCAAGGGGTGGGGATTGACAATATCAAAAAGAAACTTGTCCTCCCCTCTCCTGGTGGCCATGGTGGAGACCAGCAGCAGCTTCCCCACGCAGGACAAGGCCTAGGTAAGGAGCGCACCACTCTCCTCCGGGGTGTTGAGCAGGAAAAGTGGTGTTGAGGTGAAGTTTGGGAGATGAATGGTGGAATTTTAGGAGTCATGAGAACAAGTTTCCAGGAAACTTTGATGAAGTTTGGGATACTTAGGAAGGTTGGGGTCCATGGGAAGTTTGAGATTCCTGTGGGGAGATTTGGGTTCACATTCCCAGGAGGGTATGTTCAGCAAGGGCCTGGATGAGGAACTGATGAAAGAATGGCCCCAAGCAGGATGAGAGGGAGGACAGAACGGCAACTCCCTTGGGCTAGAAAAGGAGTTACTCAGCATCCCCAGCAATTTGGCCCATGCCCACCCCATCCCTCCGGCTCCCACTACATCTCCCCTGACACTAGTCACCAAGGCCAGCCACCCACCTGCTCTGCAGTGGTCTCCGCTGTTAGCTGAGCTGAGAAAGTTCCTCAGACTCTCAGCAAACATGCTGAGGCCTACCCAGTGCCTGGTCTTGGCATACATGCTCCCTGCCCTCAAGGAATTCACCGGCCAGGAGAGGAGCCAGGCACATATAAGGGCAGCACAGTGTGATAAGGACAGTGACAGAGGACAGCACAGGGTGATATGGGAGCCCAGAGGAGTCAGAGGGCTTCCTGGAGGAGGTGACCCCCCCGGGTTAAGCCTTGAAGAGTGGGTAGCCAGGAGAAGGGTGTCCCAAGGAGAGGGGACAATGTGTGCAGAACCACAGGGAGGGTAACCATGGAGTCCCACCTGTGACTTTGTTCTGCACTACAGAAGCCAAGCAGGAGTGGCAGGTGTGAGCTGCAGAGGGCGTAGAGGGCCAGGATAAGGATGTTGGCCTCTGTTTTGAGGGTATGGAGGGATGTTTTGTTTGTTTGTCTGTTTGTTTGCTTTTTTTTTTCGAGATGTGCTCTTATCTCTTCCCTCATAATTTTCGTCTCTGAATTTTTCCTCTATACTTTGAGATATTTCTTCCAGTCAGTTTTGGCACAGAGGGCTTTTAAGCACATAAGGAACATGACCAGTTTAGAAACATCGCCCTCCCTGGGCAGGCAGGTTAGTGGGGCTGACTGTGGAGGGGGAGATCAGTGAGGAGGCACGGGCAAGCCTGAGCCGGGGCAGGGAGTGCGGATGTTGAAGGGAAGGAGAATCTAGGATGGACCCCTATCTCACCCAGCGTTAGTTGGCAACTATGTGAATGTTTGACGAATGATTGACTGAATGGACACCCAGGGGACAATCACGGATGACTGGGTGAATAATGGGGATGGTTTATCACGTGAGACTTGCCATGGCAAATTAACAGGAGCCACCCTGAGCTAGATTAAGCCTAAAGAGGATTTTATCACAAGGATACCATGGTATCTCATGGAACCCAAGGACCAGATGCAAAGAGACTCTAGAAAGCCAAGGAGGAGTGCGGCTCCACCTGACCTCTGGCTTCAACCATCAAGCAGCTCGCCCTCTGCCTTTCAGCCTTCTCTTTTCCTTGCTCTGGGGAGCTCATCTCTTCCCTGATTTCAATTGTCTGTGACTCTCATGTCTTGTTGATTGTCCATTCTGCTACCTCTTGGACATCTGCTTCGGGGAGTTCACATTTCCCAAAGTGAACTCACCATTTCCCCTCCAAACCTGATCATTAATTCAATACATTTTTATTGAGCATCTGCTTTGTAATGGGACTACAATAATGAGCAAAATGAGCTTTTCAAGTCTCCTCTGGTGTAACATTGTGCCTACAGTAACAATAAGGCATTGTGAACTTAAACATGTGTGAAGAGGGTACATCTCACATTAAATGTTCTTGCTACACGAAAGCCAAAACCAAAACAAAAGTAAATAAAACTAAAAACAGGCCAGGCGCGGTGGCTCATGCCTGTAATCCCAGCACTTTGGGAGGCTGAGGTGGGTGGATCACCTGAGGTTGGGCATTCAATACCAGCCTGACCAACATGGAGAAACCCCATTTCTACTAAAAATGTAAAATTAGCCGGGCGTGATGGCGCGCGCCCGTAATTGCAACTACTTGGGAGACTGAGACAGGAGAATCGCTTGAACCCGGGAGGCAAAGTTTACAGTGAGCCGAGATCGCACCATTGCACTCCAGCCCGGGCAACGAGAGCAAAACTGTCTCAAAAAACAAAACAAAACAAAAAACACAAGGCTGGGTGCGGTGGCTCACGCCTGTAATCCCAGCACTTTGAAAGGCCTAGGCGGATGGATCACCTGAGGTCAGGAGTTCGAGACCAGCCTGGCCTGGTCAAGATGGCGAAATCCCTTCTCAACTAAATACAAAAATCAGCTGGGCGTGGTTGTGGGCACCTGTAGTACCAGCTACTCGGCAAGCTGAGGTGGGAGAATCGCTTGATTCTCAGGAGGCAGAGGTTGAAGTGAGATGAGATCATGCCACTGCACTCCAGCCTGGGCAACAGAGTGAGACCCTGTCTCAAAATAAATAAATAAATATATAAATAAAAATAAAAATAAAATGAAAATAAAGGGATACACAGAAACTTGGAGGTGACGAACATGTTTATTCCCTTGATTGTGGTAATGGTAACATGAGTGTATACTTAGTTCCAAAATCACCAAATTGTATATATTAATTATTTTGTATACCAATTATACTTCAATGAGGCTGAAACAAAAAAAGTAAAGTTTCACAGGGCTGTGTTAGAGCAGGACACTCTGCAGTCATGTAAGAATGGTGGAAGAAGATGGGCAACAAAAGAGGGGCTTCATTTTTTTTTTTTTTAAGTCTACTCCACTTCTCCTCTGTGTTTCTAGTTTAAAGAATGGAAACCTGGGTGTCATCCTTGATTTTTCCCTCTCTCACGTCCC